GCCCCAGCCGGGTCCGGCCCGGGGCGGGGGCCGCGGCGCCGAGGATGGGGAAATCCAACAGCAAGCTGAAGCCCGAGGTGGTGGAGGAGCTGACCCGGAAAACCTACTGTGAGTGCGCGCGGCGCGGCGCCGCCCGCGCCCCCGAGCCCGCGCCCCGCGCCCCCGACCCCGCGCCCCGCGCCCCGCGCCCCCCCGGCCCCGCGCCCCGACCCCGCGCCCCGCGCCCCGCGCCCCCCCGGCCCCGCGCCCCGACCCCGCACCTGGCCCTATTGTTCTCCCCGCGCGGGGGCCCGGCCCGCGCCCCTCCCCGGCCCGCTCCGCGCTGGGGCGGACGCGGCGGCCTCGGCCAGGACCGGAGGCCCCGGGGCCTGTGGCTGGGGCGCCTGGCGGGCGGGTCCGCGGGGCCGCCCGGGCAGCGGGGTGGACCGGCCGGGCGTCGGGGCCGCCCCTGAAAGGAAGGACCACTTCCGGCTTCCATGACGGCGCGAGTTCACAACTCCGGCCCCGCGGCCGCGCTGCGCGGGGAGCCCCCGCCCCAGCGCACGGGGGGTGAGGGCCGTGGAGCCCCCCCCCGCCCCAGCCCCAGCGCACGGGGGGTGAGGGCCGTGGAGCCCCCCCCCCCCCGCCCCAGCCCCAGCGCACGGGGGGTGAGGGCCGTGGAGCCCCCCCTGTCCCCGCCCCAGCGCACGGGGGTGAGGGCCGTGGAGCCCCCCCCCCCGCCCCAGCGCACGGGGGTGAGGGCCGTGGAGCCCCCCCTGTCCCCGCCCCAGCGCACGGGGGTGAGGGCCGTGGAGCCCCCCCCCCGCCCCAGCGCACGGGGGTGAGGGCCGTGGAGCCCCCCCTGTCCCCGCCCCAGCGCACGGGGGTGAGGGCCGTGGAGTCCCCCCCCCCCCACTCTCTCCGTGAGGCCCAGGGCGCCTCGCCCGCCTGCCCTGCGGGGCCTGGCGGGGAGGCCCCGGGGTGGGGTGGGTTGCCAGGCTGGACGCGGGCATCGCGGGCTCGGGCTGCCTGTGGCCGGGAAGCCGGCTCGGTGCGGTGCCCCGCACCGCGCAGCCAGCTCCCCGGGCTGTGCCCAGCCCACATCCATCTCCTGGGCACATTTGCTGGGCGGCTCCAGTCGGTCCTCAGCCCTCATCCGACCCCTGCACCTGCGCGGTTGGAGCCCGGGAGGGGGGCGCCCCGTGCTGGCCCTCAGCCTGGGGAACTGTCCTGTCCCCCTCGGCCTGGGGAACTGTCCTGTCCGGCAGCTGCCTGCCGCCTCTCTCCAAGGTGGACCCCGGGGTCCTTTCCAATCCGGCCATTGTTTTGTAAGATGCACTGGGCCCTTGGGAAGCTCAGTCCAGATGTGGTCTGCTCATCAGCCGCTGCGGGGCCCTGCGGGGGCCGTGGAGGCAGAGGGCGGGAGGCGGGCACTGGCCACCCCGGCTGTGTGCATCCTGGGGAGGGTCCGGGCTGAGGGAAGCCAGGTGTTCTGATAATGGAGGGTCATGCGCTCAGCGCTTTGCCTCATTAACACATGGGCTCCCTACCAACAGCCTGGCACCAGCCCCGCGCTGAGATCAGAAACTGAGGTGCCCTGCCCAGGGTGCCACCGCTGTGCTGGTCTGGGACTAATGGACCCAGGTCCATTGCTCTAAAGCTATGCCCTGAAGGGGGGGGGGATAGAGTGTGATGGGAGCTGTGTCACACCTCCAGCTCTTCTGTGGTTCTTTCTTTAGCTCCCGCTGGCAGGCTCTGGGTAGAAAGCGGCCTGGCGCCTGGCTGGGGGTGGGTGTGGAGTGGCAGGTCCTTTGACCCCCCAGCTAATCTGACAACTTTGGGAGAAGTTGAGCGGACTGAGCGCCATGAGGAGCTGGCCCGTTGGTGCTGAGGCTGGGCTGGCCTTCGAGACCCAGCACTGTTTTGGTGTGGAGAGAGTTCGCCTGGGTGCCTTCCTCTGTGGCAGCTTTTCGTAGGGGGGGGGGGGGGAGGGTTCCCTTACCTGTCTCCCGTCTGTCCCCCTGCGGATGCCACTCTCTTGGAGGGCCCTGTCTGTGTGGCTATCAGCTCTCTGTTTTGGCAGGCACTTAGTGCCCACCCATGTTTGTTGAATGAAAAAATGTCCCCATGGGTAAAGCAAAGAAAGTAGCAGCCTGTGTCAGGCCCCAGGTGGGCTTCCTTCCCTGTGCTGGGGCATGGGGCCGTCTACTCTTTGTTCTGGGGGATTCTGTGTCTGAGGTCGAGGGAAGAGTCACTCAGAATCACTCTCAAATGTGTCCTGGACAGCGTGTAAGTCCCAACGTACCTGGGCCACCTGCCTGGGTTTCTCCATGTTGAGGTCTGGGCGTGGGACAGGGGATTTGCATTTTTTTGGGGGGGGGTCCGGTTGTGGGGCCTGAACTCTGGGCCTGGGCTCTGTCCCTCAGCTCTTCAGCTCAAGGATAGCGCTCTACCACTTGAGCCACAGCGCCACTTCCGGCTTTTTTCCTTTTTGCTTATGTGGTGCTGGGGAATCGAACCCAGGGCCTCAGTCATGCAAGGCAAGCGCTCTACCACGGAGCCACCTTTCCATCCCGGGATTTGCATCTTTGACAGCATGGGCAGTGCGGAACCTGGTTCTGGGGAGCCTCTATTGAAGGGCTGTGGTTATAACAGAAGCCAGGGGGTCCCAAGGCCGCCGCATGTCAGCTGTCTGCAAGAGCAACGGGCCCAGAGGAGGTTCTGGACGGCCGTGCATGAGTTGGGGCTGGCTATGATTCTATCTTCATTTTGTGCCAATCCTGGGGCTTAAATTCAGGGTCTGGGCACTCTGCCGCTCCAGCCACTGTCCCACTTCTGGCTTCTTTTTGTTGGTTATTGGAGATAAAGAGTCTTACAGACGTTCCTGCCTGGGCTGGCTTCCAACTACAATCCTCAGATCTCAGCCTCTTAAGTAGCTAGGATTACAGGCGTGAGCCACCAACCAACACCTGGCAGGCTGTGTTTTTCAGTAGTGATTCTCCTGTCCATGTTCCATGTGTCTACATACACACACTTATGTATGTGTGCATTTGTATATGCATGTGTGTAAAGAGGAATTGTCCTCAGGCCACAGCTGTGGGCTACCCCAGAAACACCTGAACTCAGCCTGGCCAAATCCCCCGGTGTGTCAGGCCTCGTGGTCCGGAGCATTTTCCGTCCCTCTGCAGATAAGCGCATTTAGGCGATCGCTGCTTAGAGCTGCCCACATCCCCAGTCTGTCCAGCAGCAGCAGCTTAGCAAGAGCCTTCCACCAGCTAGCCAGGATTTCCAGAGCAGTGCTTAGCATGGACAGGTGTGTATGGGAATGTGTGTGTGTGCACGTGCGCACACGTGTGCCTGTGTGCATGCACAAGTGTATGTACGTGCCTGTGAGTGCGTGTGTGTGTGTGTGTGTGTGTGTGTGTGTGTGTGTGTGCACGCTAGGGCTTGAACTCAGGACCTGTATCCTGTCTCTTAGTTTTTTCACTCAAGGCTGATGCTCTACCAATGGAGACACACTCACACAGCACGCTTCCAGCTTTTTTGTTTTGTTTTGGAAGTTAATTGGAGATAAGGGTCTCTTAGATTGGTCTTCCTAGGCTGGCTTCAAACCACGATCCTCACATCTCAGCCTCCTAGTAGCTAGGAGGCTCCTGCTCATTGCCAGTTTCTCTGAGCTGTGGCTCGGGCTCTCCCTGCTTGTTGGGGAGGCTGTTGCGGCCTGCGTGGCCAGGCTGCACACGGGCCAGCTCTCCTCCCAGCTGACCTTACTTCCCACTTCAGTTGGTGCAGTGAGTGCACATGGTGCCTGGTTTGAGATCACACACACACACACACACACACACACACACACACACACACACACACAGAGAACATGGTGAGCACTCTGCTGCTAAGCCACACCCCAGCCCTTCAGTTCGACTTGGGTCAGTGTTTTTGTATGTGCCAGTACTTGGGCTTGAACTCAGAACCTTGGCACTGTCCCTGAGCTTTTTGACTCAAGCCTAGTTCTCTACCACCTTGAGCCACATCTCCCCTTCTGGTCTTTTGTTGGTTAATTGGAGAAAAGAGTCTTGTAGACTTTATAGGCTTCTGTCAGGGCTGGCTCTGAGCTGTGAGCCTCAGATCTCAGCCTCCAGAATTGCTAGGATTACAGGCGTGCGGCACTAGCCTGGCTCCAACCAATCCTCAATACATTTTGCAGGCAGATTTCCCATCTGCATAGGTGGCTTTTCTTGGGACGCTGGTCTTGGAGCCCGGCACGAGGGCATTGGAAGGAGGAGGCCTGGGTTGGTTTCCTGTGCTAGCAGCCACCCCCTTTACTTGTCCACGTTTTTGTGGCCCTGACCCGCCATCCACTGATCAGCCTGCCGGCAGAGAAGCACTGGGCCAGGCAGCTCGGGTCCCTTCTCCTCGTCTAAGCACTGTGAAGGCCTCTGACAGCCCGATTCCCGCCGGCCGGGGCCCCAGGCAGAGCCTTGGTCCCCGGAACTGCGGCTCCCGTGCTTGCCAGCCCTCCCCAGGGACCCTTGTTCCACTCGTGGTCAGTTTGGCCTTGGCCTTGACCTTGCCAGCCAACCTCGAGTCTCTTCTCCACGTTCACGTCGGTGCTGGGCACCCAGCGGCCCCAGAAGGGTCTTCGGTTACCTTCCTGGGTCATTCCGGATGGGGGCGGTCCTAGAATGCATAGCCCCTTGCGATGGGCTGTTCTGTAGTCCTCATCCCCTCGCCCCTCTTTCTGTCTTTCTGAGACAGCAGGACTGTGCTGCCCTGAGCAGGGGACAAGTAAGAGCCCCCGGGTGCCCCCCTCCGCCAGACAAGGAGGAAGAGGAGGGGCTCCCACAGTCCTGGGGTGCTGCCTGAGGGGGTGGGGACAGGGAGCCTCCTCCCTTAGCCACTGAGGGTAGAACCAGGATGCAGCAAGAGAACCTAAGGTTAGACTCTTGCCCCAAGGGTAGGCTTGTGCAAACCAGCAGCTCCGTGCTTAGGAAAGGACTATGGATGCATTGGCCGCTGCCCACCCCCTCCGCTCTGCCGCTCTTCTCTGGGCGCCGGGGCGCTCCTGGATCGCCTGCCCGCCATCCAGACAGTGGCCGGGAGCGCTGCCCTCTTCCTGAGGGAGGACTGGGGTGGCACAGGCAGGGCCTGGCATCTGATAGGACTTCAAACTCACCCTCCTCTGCAGGGAGGAGCTACCATTTCCTTCTGTCCCTTCCCCCTGGGGACCAGAACCGCGGTGTCATGGGACAAGCCTCTTCCAGCTGTGGGGCCGCCGCTGGTGGCATGTCTCTCCCAGAAGGCCGCAGCTCTGCCTTCCAGAAACCCCTTCCTGGCTGCAGCCCAGAGCACGGAGAGGGTGATGGAGGCCGGGGGAGGGTGGGGGCGAGGGGAGGGGGGGAGGGGGAGGGCAGGGACGGGGGAGGGGCAGGAAGGACTCACTGCAGGTCTGTCAGGAGGAAGATACAGGAGGACTTACTAGGGTGTCTTTATTACTTTGTAGACTTGACATTACCTACTTTGTATTTCCTGACTTAAAAGCCAGGCTCTGGTAGCTCACACCTCTAATCTTAGCTACTCAGGAAGCTGAGATCTGAAGACAGCAGTTCAAAGCCAGCCCAGACAGGAAAGCCCATCAGACTCTCCACCCCGGAAAAAGCCGGAAGTGGATCTGTGGCTCAAATGGTAAAGCACTAGCCTTGAGCAAAAAAACAAAAAAGCTTAGGGACAGCACCCAGGCCCTGAGTTCAAGCCCAGGACTGACAAAGGAAAAAAAAAAAAAAAGCAAACCCTACTGGGAGTGTTTGACTAGGTGATTATCTGTGCCTCAAAGACAGGCCTCTTCAGAGTGGCCCTTCCTATAAATTCTCTCAGCTCCGCCCTTGTCATCGGCAGCGGTGGCCTCACCCCCCAACACCTGCGGTTCTGGGGAACATCTATGTTGTAAATCTTTGTATGTCTCTTTCCTTAAAGAAATTAAGCTTTAGGGTCGCCGGGCGCTGGTGGCTCACGCCTGTAATCCTAGCTACTCAGGAGGCTGAGATCTGAGGATCGCAGTTCAAAGCCAGCCCAGGCAAGAAAGACCGTGAGACTCCTATCTCCAATAAACCACCAGAAAACCGGAAGTGGTGCTGTGGCTCAAGTGGTAGAGCGCTCGCCTTGAGCTGAAGAGCTGAGGGACAGCGCCCAGGCCCAGAGTTCAAGCCCCACGACCGACCAAAAAAAAAAAAAGAAATTAAGCTTTAGGGGGGACAGTACTAGATTTTGAACTCAGAGCCTCGTCTTGATAGGATGGTGCTCTACCACGTGAGCCACATCTCCAGCGCTGTTTTTCTCTGGTTACTTTTAGGACAGGTCTCATTCCCAGCCCTGCATGCTCCTGAACTGCGATCCACCTACTTCTGGGCTTCCTGCTGTTACTGGGCTCAGAAGCACGCAGGCTTTCCCCGTGGAGATGGGGTCTCTTGGACTTTCCTGCCCTGCCTGTCCTGGAACTACAGTCCTCCTGATCTTAGCCTTACTTTGGGACAAGGCAAACACGCCTTTGTCCAGCTGTGGGCTGAGAACTTTCCTGCCTGGTCTGTCTTTGTGCCTCCTGTTCTCAGCCTCCCGATTCCTTACATATTTTGTTAGCACATATTAATTGTATGGTAGGAGGTTCTCACGGCGCTATTTCCATACATGAGTATAATATACTTTAATCGTATTCTCCCTCTCTCTCTTTCTTGTCTCCCCTTCCCACCTCGTTTTTTGTCTTTCTTACAATTAGGAAATCTTTCCATACATGCATATAATGTATGTCAATCAGATTCAGTCCCTCTAGTACTCGAAGGCTCCCCGGCCCCTCCCCTTAAGCAGTTTTTAAGAGGTTTTATTCTTTTATACTTGATCATTTCTTCTCCCCCTAAGCCCTGTGTGTGTGTGTGTGTGTGTGTGTGTGTGTGTGTGTGTGTGTGTGTGTGTGTGTGTGTGTGTGTGTGTGTGTGTGTGTGTGTGTGTGTGTGTGAATGTGTGTGCCAGTACTGGGGGTTTGAACTCAGGGGCCTGGGCATTGTCCCTACCCTTTTTTGCTGGTTAACTGGAGATAAGAGTCTTTTGGATTTGTCTGCCCTGGGCTGGCTTTGAACCGAGCTCCTCAGGACTCAGGCTACTCTGGAGTAGCCAGGACTACAGGTGTGAGCTAGCTGCTCAAACCACGATGCGCCTTCCTGCCTCTGCTTCCCTTGGGATTACAGGTGTGCACCACCACAGCCATCTTAAGAGTCTTTTGAGTAAAAATGGCTGCACTGCTGCCCAGAATGGATGTTCTCATTTATCTCCCTAGCAGACGTGGATGAGGGAGCGCCCACTTGCCTGCCTTCCTGTCAGCACTGGGTATTATTATTGTCTTAATTACTGCCAACTTCATGGGAAGAAAAGAAGCCCCCTGTTTCCAGTTCATTTCTTTGATTGCTATTCAATTGAATCCTAGCATCTTTGAGCTGGAGGAGATGCTTGGATTTGAGAGGCCCACATCCTAATTCTCCGGGGGGGTCAGCACAGTACCACAGAGGTGAGCTGTCTCCATGGTAACGTGACAAGCAAGAAGCAGGGGCCCAGCACCCCCAACTTCTGCGAAGATGCTTCTTCCACTGTGCTGGGGCTGGGTGGTTCCTGGGGTCCAGGTGGGCCTGTGTTGCTTTCTTCATTACAGATTTCTGGTTTGGTTGTTTGTTTAGCGAGTCCTGGAGCTTGAACTCTGGGCCTGGGCGCTGTCCCTGAGCTTTTGTACTCAAGGCTAGCATTCTACCACTTGAGCCACAGCTCCCTTCTGGCTTTTTTTTTTTTTTTTTTTGGTTGTCAGGGGGCTTGCACTCTGGGCCTGGGCGCTGTCTGGTTTCAAACTGAGATCCTCCTCAGATTTCAGCCTTCTGAGTAGCTAGGATTGCAGGCGTGGACCACCAATACACCTGGCTTTTTATTTTTTATTTTTAAATTGTATTGAGACTTGAAATCAGGGACTGGGCACTGTAGCTACAATTTTTCACTCAAGGTTGGAATTCTTCTGCTTGAGCCATGGCTCCACTTCCAGCCTTTTTTTTTTTTTTTTAATTTTGGTAGTTAATGGGAGTTAAGTCTCCTGGACTTTTCTGCCTTGACTGGCTTTAGACTGTGATCCTTCAAGCCTCAGCCTCCTGAGTGGCTAGGATTACAGGCATGAGTCACCAACGGTGCCTGGCTTGACGTGGTTCTTTTTGTCCTAAATGTTCCTGGCAAGCCTGGCAGGGAGGAAGTCAGTGTCCATTTAAAGGAGCACCCTCGTCCTTGTCGCTGCCTGACAGTACGGCTTACCTGTCCTGCATGAGGTCTCCTTTCCAGGACAGAGGAAGTTGGGGATTTGTGTCCAGCTTCCAGGTAGCTTGGAATTGGGGTCAGATCTCTGCTGGGGGGCAGGACAGTCCTGTGGCTCCAGGGTTTTTGGCTGTGCCCTGCTCTGGCTGCATGGTCGTGGACAGCTGCTCATCTCCCAGCCCAGGTGCCTTGTGCAGGACGCTGGCACGGGCAGCAGCATGTCTTGCTGGCAGGCACCGGTCCTGGCACTGGGTAAGCACTTACCCAGTGTGTGCCCCGGAAGGTCCTCCTTGGGGTGCAGAGGACTGGCTGAGCCTGCTGGGAGGTCAGAGGGCCAGCTGTCCCACAGCTGTGCTTTTGGATGGGTTTGGCAGTGGCTTTGGCCTTGGGCACCGCGCTGCTGGCTTGATGAACTGAGAGAGAGTGTCGCTCAGCGCCTGGGTGCTGCATCTAGGGCTCAGGGGGCTGGAGAAGGACCAGCCTGGGCTTAGTGTCCAAACCACTGTGCCCTGGACAGCGTCTGGGAACAGTGTTCTTTTTTTTTTTTTTTTTGTCGGTCATGGGGCTTGAACTCTGGGCCTGGGCGCTGTCCCTCAGCTCTTCAGCACAAGGCGAGCGCTCTACCACTTGAGCCACAGCGCCACTTCCGGTTTTCTGGTGGTTTATCGGAGATAAGAGTGTCCTGCCCAGGCTGGCTGTGAACTGCGATCTCAGCCTCCTTAGTAGCTAGGATTACAGGCGTGAGCCACCCGTGCCCTGGAACAGTGTTCTTTCTTTTCTTTTCTTTTGTTGTGCCAGTACTGAGGCTTGAACTCACGGCCTGGGTACTATCTCTTAGCTTATTTTTTGCAAGACTAGTGTATGAGCCACAGCTTTACCTCCTGCTTTTTGCTAATTAATTGGAGATGAGAGTCTTACAGACATTCCTGCCTGGGCTGGTTTCAAACTATGATCCTCAGATCTCAGCTTCCTGAGTAGCTAGGATGACACCGGTGCCTGGCTCCATGGTCCTTTTTCTTTTTTCTTTTCTTTTTGTCTTTTATGGGGCTTGAACTCTGGGCCTGGGCGCTGTCCCTCAGCTCTTCAGCTCAAGGCAAACGCTCTACCACTTGAGCCATAGCACCACTTCTGACTTTTTCTGCTCATGAGGTACTGAGGAATGGAACCCAGGGCCTCATGCATGGGAGGCAAGCACTCTACCACTGAGCCACCTTCCCTGCCCCCATGATCCTTTCTGAACAGCATTCAGATGGTCAGATATGTGAGTGTGTGTCTCACAACAGGCCGGGTGTGTGTGGGTCTTGGGAAGGGGTGTGCTTGGGCTCTGGGGCTGGGCCAGCTCAGCATCTGGAGGGTTCTGGGCTTCCTGTTGCCTCTGTCCTCTTCTGCAAGTTGGGATCACGACACTGCAGCCACAGGTCTGTGAAGTCTGAGGCGCCTCTGCCTCTTCCTTGATCCCCTGGGGAGGCGGAGAATGTGTAAGCAGCCGCGGGCTGAGTCTGGTATTAAGCATGTCTCATGTGGTCTAGGCCCATGCTTGGGGTTCATGTGTATTTTTTTTTTTATCACCTTTCAAGAAGCCAGCGTTGCGGACAAGGCAGGGAGGCTCAGAGGGGCAGAACTCACCTGTGGCCCCAGTGCCCTGGGACAGCCGGTCCAGTTGGACGTGGGGCGCGCCCGCGTGAGCGGCCCTGCGCCGGCGGGGGTGCCGGTGCGCAGCGGGGGCTGTGTGGGTGTCGCAGGCTGATGGTGGGCGCCGCGGGTCACGTGGGTGACTTTCTACTCCCACGTGCACACTGGGAGTGTGAGTGACAGGATGGTGTGTGGAGCGGGCGAGCCCCCGTGTCTGTGCACACG